GAAACAAACAGGAGGAGGCCCTTGTGCAGGTCAAATAAAAGTTTGTGGAGTTGCAAGTCCATTCACATTAAGGACACTTAGTTTTCTATGATTTTCAGAGCAATAATAACTAATTGTATAAAAACACGCTTTCATGCAACAAAGTTACAGACTATATAACTTGCAAGTAACCAAAAAGGTTTTTATGCACTAATTCTAAAAATCTAGTCCTGTAGTTCAGATCTCTGCAAACAAAATGCACATTTTTACATCATGCAGCTAAAACATTCAAGCATTCATTCATTCGTGGTACTCATAATCACAGAATATCTCCTGTTGATTTTTCAGACCCTGTCATCCAGGTGCCAGTCTACTTGACAGAGTAAGTAACACGCGTGCACACACACACACAGACACACACACACACAAATGAATGAATATGTTAGTTAATAAATTCTTTCTTTCTTATTTGTTTAGGTCTGGTTTTCTCCCAGATCCAAACGATGGCAGTTTATACATCCTGGGAGGAAAACACAAAGAAGGGCTGGTTGTGAGTATAAGGTCCTCCTGTAATGCTGGGGTTCAGATGACATCACAGCATTCTCAAGGCCTATACCATTTAATACAGAGGAATATAAAGTGAATATACTTAAAATGGAGACCTTTGTTCTAATATAGTGAGTTCTGGGGTCTAGCCACTAATAGAAATGATCAGGTTCAGCAATTGTGAATTGACCTTGTAGATATTATTTATAACATCATCACATTGTAAGACCATCAATATTTAGCATTTTGGCTTTGAATTCCACAGTGGTGAGAAGAAAAACAAAACAAAACACTGCTTTCGAAAACACAAATCAAGATATAAGTTTTGCATAATATTGGACATTCAATTTCAATATTTTTTAAATACAAGTTTATTTTTTTTGTTTATTATTTCTTTTCCTTGTGATTTCAGAAACTCCCCTTCACCATTCCAGAGCTGGTGCAGTCGGCTCCTTGCAGAAGTTCGGATGGAATTTTATATACAGGTAAATATAGTGTGTTTTGAATCATTTAAAACAAGCATTTGATAACCATTTTTATTCATATAGCCAAGCACTGAGCCAATACTTTATGTTCCCTCTTCAGCACGGCCATTCCATCTAAATGAATGCTTCCTAAAACATTAAAAGGTCCGCACTTGTCCCTTCTCCTCTTTCACTACATGACCTAGTCTGACTCCAGCCAAAATACTGCCCACTCTTAATAGGCTATGGTAGTACTAAGTATGGTAATTTGATTTTTACTACACACCCCTCTTAAATTCATAGCTTTTTAAAACAACTGTATGTAAGATTTTGATTGTAAATTCCATAGATATTCACAGACTGTAATTCTCTATCTCTGCGTGTTGCTAAATCTTGATCACTTGGATAGCTGATGCTGCTCGGAGTTATGTTAAATTAAATGATAAAAAAAATGCTATCTCAGTGAAGAAATTCTGGAGGTTCTGAGCTGTCACATGTGACAGGCCGCTCCGTACAATATACTGAGAATGAGGAAAACTGTGTCCTTTATCTGCAGGTTAAGTACCTTAAAAGAACAAGGAAAATGATAACACAATACTACAGTGACTGAATGCAGTAAGCACACAATACACATTTTGATTATAGCTTTTTTTATGGTAAGTGTTGTTAGCATGCTGACTCCACAACCACTTCATGTATGTGTGTGCTGGTCTGTTGCATCATCATCATCATCATCATCATCACTAAGACAGCTTGTACTAGAGCACAGCGCTAAACAAAACAGGAAAACATTGTCTAGACTGTAATTTTGTACTATTGGAACTGTCCTCCTAAGTTATGATTAAAACTGAAGTTTACTTTAAGCTTGTGATTCCACAAAATTAATCAAATAGACTTAAACTAACAAACAAACTTTATTGATTCACAAGAAAAAATATTTAGACACAGTAGCTCACACATCACAATATAATATAACAACCAAAACAAAAATATCAATCAATCATAAATCAAATCATAAATTCAGCAAAAATATCAAGAGACTGGTGTCAAATAAGGCATAATTATATAATATAAAATATATAATATATAATATGAAATATAAAAATAAAATATAGAAATATAGTAATACAAATATATTTCATCTAACTACAGGAAGTCCTAAGGAGAAACAATGCAAAGATGAAATAATGTTTGACAGGACATAGGGTTATTACATAAGTGTAAGTTGTTGTACTGTTGTATAGAGTATGGTCTGAATGTAGTCCTGTATCTCTCACTGTTGGAGCAGAGGTGTAGGAGCCTGTTGGAAAATGTGCTCCTCTGTCTTAACAGGGTCAGGGTTAAACTTTAAAAGATCCATGACAATATTCCACAGTATGGCATTAAACAAATCAATCTCATTGGAGATAAGTAGATCACTGGGTCAAATTACAGGTCAGATTTGCAGAGAAATGAGCCTGTTCAAAATATTGCAGTCAAGCCAATAACATCTCCATTGCCATACCCACACACACATACCTGAAAATTTGCTTAGTGCATCTTTAAGCCACTAAATTAATGACAAATGTGTAGAGCTATTTCTTGACAAAAAATATGCTTACAATATGGACTTTGTGTTTGGTTATTTCTTTCAAACATACTGAATATTAGCTCCTATCCTCTAATTTGTAATTAGGAACATCTTTAAGGGGAGTCACTATTTATTTATTTTTTGGTCAGTTTGGTCTCTTAGTATATAAACTTTCATATGAAATCGTACAGAAGGATTTGTTGATATCATATACTGAATATTGAATTCAAAACCTGATTTATTAAAGTTTTAACACCAAAATGAGATAAAAATGCAGGCCAATTTTCAATAACGTTTAGTTTTCTCAAATGCTAAATAAGATATTCAAAATCTTCTCTGTATATTTTGTATATAATATGACAACAATTTGAGGCAAAAAAAAAATGTAAATCTCTAAAGCTCTATCCATTTTTCTTCTTTTTTTCTCATATATCCCATATAAGGTTAATTTTGTTCATATTTATACACAAAACATCATGTTTATATTTGAAAACATTAGTTGTAATATTTTTTTTTCTTACACTTACATAAGTATACTACAGAAGAAGTTTTAAATGAATATATCTAAATTTAAGATTTTTTCCTATTTACCTGCAGTGTCTCAAATTAATTGGTATATAGTAAATCTTGCTACCCTGCTACTCCACGGTAACATCTGTAATAGACCTACTTAACTATTGGCTATTTTCTTCATTTTCAGACACTGGGTTCCTCCCACTGTCTGAAAATTAAGAAAGTAACTCACACATTTGACATTGTACATTGTTTGTGACTATAATGTGTTACTTTGTATGTGTAGGTAAAAAGCTGGACATGTGGTTTGTGGTAGACCCAGAGACTGGTGAAAAGCAAACCAGTCTAACCACCGGCTCCTCAGAGTCCATCTGCCCCAACTCCCCTCTACTCTACATAGGCCGCACAGGTACAGTCAACCTACTTACAACGCCATTTCAACAAATCATACAAACAAAAAATCTGAAAACTAAATCAAGTAGTACACTCAGAATGTCCCACAATGCACCTTAAAAAGCAGGGTCCAACAGTTGCCACTAAATTGGACACTGTGGAGTAGATTGGGGAAAACAACAAAGAACAACGGAAGGTCTGGACACAACACAACTGAATGAGAGCAGGTAGAAGCACTTCTTCTATGGCTAATTATTGGCTCGATCTGCTATTTATTTGTTGCAGCTCAGGCCTTTTAATTACACCATCTATTTAAAAATTGTTTTTTCCTGCTTCATGTCAGTGGCATAAAGTATTTTCAATATTATCTTTGTCACAGTATTTCTCTGTAGCGATATATCGTGCTTCAAAATGTGTTATTGTGACAGACCTAATTATATCTGCTGCCGTTGTCTAACAAGTAAGTACAATTATAAACTTCACCAAAATAAAAATAAAAACTAGAAAAAACTACTCTAGTGAAATGACTATTCTAATGTGTCAGATGCACTTTAAGGTCATAAGCCATTACATTTCTCTTAGTGCAGTGAACCCTGTTTCTTATATGCAGTTTATATACTCCAGAGTAAATATTCACATAAAACCCGAGCTTGTGTTTATTACAAGGATCAGGCTGTAGACTTCCACCCAGAGGACCAGGACACACCTCCACCCACATGGCCTTCACCGTTTTTCATTAGTTTACTTTATAAATGTCTTAATGACACTTTCTATCACATGTTGCCTTAGTTCATTGTCTATTAAAAGTCATTAAAGGTGATAAAGCTCATTCCAAATTGTTAGAGATAAGCGCTTTAAAAACATTTAAAAGCCCATGTTATGTTTTTTTCTGATCTATGTCGTGTCCTCAAAAAATAAAATAAAAAAAACATACCTGGAGTTGTGTTTTGGTTCATTTACACACAAATCCTGCATATTTTAAAATGTTTTCTTCTCTCAAACAGAAAACACTCCAACTTGTGATGTCATGTGGTAATACAGGAAGTACTGTGCTCTGTTTTTAAACTCCTTACACCTTCACTAGAATCATTTGGATAATTTCAGCTCTGGAATTTGCAATTTCTCCTAAAGGTAAAAAGTAGCTATTAACTTGAAAACTACCACTACATGACATCATAAGGTGGAACAGAGCATTTTGAGCTGTGGCGACGTTGACAGACTAATAATGTGAGATTCTTCTAACATATGTGAATAAAACAAAACACAACTCCAGGTTTCTTTTTGATGAGATAACATAGCTTAAAGCTCACAGGCGTCAATTTTGCTTAATATGGGCCCTTTAATCTAGCCGGATTTATCAACCGGTTTCACTTTGTGGAAACCGTCTGACCTCGCAGCAGTAGGATTCATTCGCTCATAGGAGGAAGGGCAATAACATCTTTCCCCTTGATAAAATTCACCAAACATTCTCTTTGTTCTGGCTTTAAATCCTTGATCTTGGGAATCGTTGCCAAGACAGAATATATGGCTCTTCGCTGACTGGCTGGTGCCCGAACTCGCACTTCCAGGGTTCTTGTAAACCGTCTAGTGTATTCCGATTCCTGACGTAGTCGTTGGAGAGAAATTAAATTGAGCAGAGGCACTAGGTGGAGCCAGCCTGGCTATCTTTAATCACCAATAGATTTTATTTCTAGTTTCAAAAGAACTGGCTTTGCGTTGTCTCTGCTCTACTCTGCTCATGTAGATTAATCAGCAGTTTAAAACATGTTACAAGCAAAAAACAGATACTTAACTGTGAACATAGGCCTAGATATACAAGCCTTAAATAGCACAGGCATATTAGGCATAGTTTGTCTATGAATGTTGATGTAGGCCCTGTGTCTGGTTAAGATTACTGTAATCTGTAATGGATAAATGAAAGTAGCAATTACATGGATCACAGATTAGGAATAACAAGTGCACATCTGATTCTTTCACCTCAGATTTTTAACAATTAAGGACAAGAGCTCAGTCTGTTTCCAGTCTTTCTGCAGCTATTTTGTATCATTATGCTGAAACCAGCGGTCAGGAAGCAGTCGATTTTGGTGGTCTTTTGGCATGGCTTCATTTGGTTTACCTTTAGGAACCTCTGGGTGGAGGTGAATCATGTGATGGTCCTCTAGATGGGTGTCTGTGGGCTGGGTCATCTTAAGATAACTCTCTTTTATTGTACACATTTGTGTCTTTACAGAGTATATGGTGACCATGTTTGACACCAAGACCCAGGAGCTGCGGTGGAACGCTACCTACAACGACTACTCTGCCCCTGCCTATGACGAGAAACAGGACTACAGTACGTATACGCCCTACAACGCACAAGAAAATCAGAAATAAAATAATACATTCTTAAATGCTTGAATCAAGTAGCTCAAGTAAGAATTAAAAGTATTGTAAGAGTAACTGTTGGGACGTAACATCTTATTTACACATTGAAGTTGATGTAATTGGAAGGACAAAACATTAAATTATGCACAGTCTGGTATTTTCTAAAAGTAAAAAAAAAAAATTATCTGAATGAGTGGTGCAAGAAACACAAGAAACATATTTGTATGAATACTGTTAGACTATATAATATATTAATTAAATCTCGCATGTTTGGGGTTAAATAATGGGGCAATTTTCTGAAGGATTTCCCTCTTCTTTATTTATAATGACAGATTATTACACATTAGACAGTTATTGTTTCATGTGGATAGGCCCGGAATTAGAGATATTAACCATAAGCCAGGTCAACAAATCTTCAAATCTGCATTTAAACAGCAAATTCCACCACAGAATTCTGACATGTCCTCCAGCACAATTTAAAGGGCCCATATTAGGATCTCTGATATAATTTGTTTCCAGTGGTGGAAAAAGTACTCAGTTTTGTTACTTAAGTAAAAGTACAGATATCGGAGAAAAAAAATACTCAAGTAAAAAAAAATATCACATGAAAAAATCTACTTAAGTAAAAGTATTAAAGTACCTGTTTAAAGAGTACCTGTACTTCAAGAGTAAAAAGTAAAAGTATTTCATGCAGATTTTGAGATCTAATAAATCTTGAAATGTACTGGTTTTAATGAAGATTTCTGCTTAATTTTGTTTCAACAGAAACAACTTAACCAATATTTTTTTCCTAGCTGTTTTTATTTGTAAATTTTTGTTTGCTCAAACTACGGACATGTTAAAAATAAATCCTGACCCTTTTCAGCAGGTCCCAAACTATCATAAAAATACTTTGACTTTTCAATTCTCTTCAAAACTGTAATGGAGTAGACAGTACAGATACCTGCTCTCAAATGTAAGTGAAAGTAAAAAGTAGCCATTTCAAAATCTACTTAAGTAAAGTACAGATAACTACAATTATGACTGAAGTACAATATTTTACTACTTTGTTACATTCCACCAGTGGTTGTTTCCTCATCACAAACATACCTGGAGTTATGTTTTGTCTCTTTCAAACATTTTTACATGCAAGTCCTGCATATTTAGGCTGAGTTCTTCTCTCAAACAGGAAAAAAATAAGAATAAAATAAGATAGAAAAAAAATGAGATAATTCTGACAATATCAATGCTCATACAAGGCCATCTTTACTACAAGGTTGAAGTTGTGTTTCTTTGTGGATGTGACTCAGACAGAAGAGGAAATGCGACACAAGATAGGGGAAGATACCTGTGTTACATGTTATTAACCTTAAAGGTCTACAATCAAACTTATGGCTATTATGTTTATGAATACTGGATTTGCACTGAACATGGCATTAGCTTTCTCTCTCTCATACCATTAGTTTAAGGTACCTTGTGCAGTTGGCAAGTTTATTTCTATATCATAATTAGTACACAACGTAATTCAAAGTGCTTTACAGAATAAGAAAAACATTAAAATCACAATACAAACAAATCAAAACATAAATAATCATCATAAAATTAAGAATAAAAGAGAGAGTGCGGAATAAAAACCTTTCTATCATATGCACAGGTAAACAGGACTGTTTACAGCTTAGATTTAAACATACTTAAGACCCACAGTGCTATATTTACTGCTCTAACAAACTCTAGTCATGTGACATTCACCTTGGTAATGATGAAGGAATTACACTGCAACAAACAATTGTTATTAGTGCTTTTAAAGGATCTGTATTCTTACAGGTTAATAAAAAGGTGCTGCTATCACATTAAACCTGGGTTATCAGGGCCTTAACCTGGAGTTTTTTCCTTTATTATTATTATTAGTAGTAGTAGTAGTAGTAGTATAAGTAATAGTATTTATGTATTTATTTTAGGCAAATAAAGATTTACATTCTTATGCAATGTAACATATAACATAAGTGAAATCATAATAGAAATGAAAATAAACACAACAAAAAATTTGCCCAAAAAGGAGTGTGAAGAAGAAAATGTATTTAATCCCACCCCTACTCTTCTAATCTAACACAGTGATCTTATTCTCAGAATATGGCCAACATGTACTGGAGCATCAGTGATACTCATTCATGTTTGTCTGCAGATGCTGGAGCTAAGGTAGTGAGCATTCATTCATTCGATCAGAGGCATTTTAGGTTTAAATCAACTGGATTTCAGCAATGGAAATGGCAACCCAAAATGACTCATGTGAGGCTCATTCTGGTTTTGGATTGGGCCATGTTATTGAACCAAAACACCAAATTATAACAAATAAATAGGGCATCATGTCTAATGTTTTTGTAATCAAGAATAGATTAACAACACCATTATCAGTAAAAGCTATGTTCTGTATCCGGGCACACAGTGAGGTCATGTTTATAGAATTTAAAATCAAAATATTGCATACAATTTCTTTAACCTTTAACTATCTTTATTATAATTTTTTTATGATGAATTATGGACTTCACTACAACATTTCAACTCAACTGTCTGTACAGCACTTACATTGTTGCTGGTTTCTGGTTTTTACTTAGTACAGTGTACTTTGTGTATACAACATTTTACATTTAACTAACTATTGATATCCATCCATCCATTTTCTTCTGCTTTCTGCTTTCTGGGCCAGGTCACGGATAACTATTAATATATATTTCTATATTTCTTCTGAAGTTTGAATTCCACACACGCTTAATGACAGAGGATTGGCTGTAGACCTCTCCAATAGAAAGACCCAACTTAATCTTGATCAGTTTGATTTATTGCACAGCTCTAATCCAACAAAACATTGTAAGAATTAATATATGACTATGAAAGTGGTGTGTGTGTGAGTAATGGTGGTGGTCGGAGGAACCCATGGTGCAGATTGTCAGCCTCACTTCCGTCACGCTGGCCCAGGGCAGCTGTGGCTACAATAGTAGCTTACGACCACTGGGTGTAGAGTGAAGGAATAATGCTCTGTAAAGCGTCTTTGAGTGTCCAGAAAAGCACCATATAAAAACTGATGCATTATTATATCTTATTAACCATAACATCTGTGTATTTGTCTTTTCAGAAATGGCCCATCTTGTATCCAGCGGTGATGGACTTGTAGTGACAGTGGACAGAGAGACGGGTAAGGAGAACTCAGGCTGGACAATACCAGTATGCACTGTGTGTGAATTATGGGTAATTTTTTGTAGTAACTATAATCACCTTTAAGGTAAATACTTGCAACTCCTCCTACTATGAGTATGTGTAGAAGTACCTCTCAGTACCTTTCTATTCATATTATAGCATAAATAAAAAGTAAATATTGTTTGTCCTTTTCCAGTGTACCTTTAAGTAAAGTGCTGTCCAGATATTTCATGATTATGTCTTGGAAATCAGAGATGGGTTCTAGCCAAAATTTTACTCAAGAGGAATCTTACTTCAGAATATTATCACTGAAGTAGAAGTTCACAGTTACTCAAGTAAGAGTAAAAAATATTTAGGAAAAGTACTACTTAAGTAAGAGTAACTGATTAAGTAATTTAAAGGACAAAAAAATCTTTGAATAGGATTGTAATGCACAAAATCTTTTAAAAGGATAGGACACACAATTTAGACTAAAATCAAACCAAATCATATCTGAAGGAATGCTGCAAGAAACACAAATGTTCAAATTATTTCATATTGTCAACATAAAGCTTTTGTCACTTGTAGACTTTCTCACAGTGGGAAGATTTTTACAACTTTTACTCAAGTAAGAGAACTGTTACTTCAATAAAATATTACTAAAGTAGGAGTAAAAGTATGTCGCTGTAAAAGTGCTGTAAAAGTACAATTTCTTTAAAAAGTTATGCAAATAAATGTAACGGAGTACTATGCACCTCTGTTGTAGTTATTTCCTGTTCTGCTTGATTGTCACTACTTAAACAAAATAAATACGCCTAGTACTATATAACTCTTACTTGAGTATTTATTGGGTGTATTTTAGCAGTAATATTCTAGTAGTACTTGTACGGTTACATAGTATGTCAAGAATAAATACTGTGTTTTTCTCTGCCAGGTGACGTGCTGTGGAGTCAGAACTATGGCTCGCCTGTAGTGGGCGTGTACCTGTATTCCGGAGACTCTCTTAGACACGCCCCTCACCTGTCCCTCGCCATGGAAACTCTGCGCTTCCTCACCTTCTCCTCTGCGAGTGAGCGAGCCGACCCCTACTCCAGCCTCAAGTGGAGCTACCAGTTTGTGAAGGAGCAGGCCACTGCACAGACTCAGCTGGTGTAAGCAAGGATGCTACTTTGAGCTCTCTGTTTCCTCAATAAAAACATACCTAGAGGAGTGTTTTGTTTCATTTACACAGGTTTAACACAGTTCTTCTCTCAAATAGAAAACACTCTGTTCCACCTTGTGATGTCATGTGGTAATAGTACTTTTGTGTTTTTAAACTACACCTTCACTAGAATCATTTGGATGATTTGGAATTGCCAAACTCTACTGAACTAAACGTAAAAATAATCAGTTTACTTGAAAAATACAGCACACGGTGGAACAGAGCATTTTGAGCTGATGTAAATAGACTAATAATAAAGGAAAACATGTATGAATGAAACAAATACAACACCAGGTATGTTTTGAGGAGGTAACAACATTCTGAAATGGCTAAAAGCTCACGAAAGAGAGAGATTTTGCGTAATGTAGGATCTTACCATGTTATAACTGGAGTTATATTTTGCTTTATTCACGTTTGTTTTATTAATCCATTAATCCAAAGTCGTTTTCTCTCAAAAATGCTTCATTTCCATGTTGCCTGGATTGTTGCGTCACTCGTGAAAGTCCAGTGTAGTTCCTTTAGCATACATGTTTACATACATAATTCACTACTAACTGGAGACACATTAGTTACATGCTCACCTATGTTCAGTGTTCAGTTTTCAGGTTTGTGCTCTATATACAGTATAGTCGTGGTCCCTTTAAGACCTGTTGACGTTTGAGGCATGCTGTTCTGTTTACCATTATTAGCCATTTTGATGGAAGTTGTGAGTTCAGTTAATAAAGCGACACACGGCTTTCTGTGTCTGAAATGTGAGAAGTTTGTCGGCTCCTTTTTATTATCCATAACTTCCACACCAGGATATTTTTGTACTGGCAATGTACTGGAAACTGGCAAGCCATCTTCCATCCAATGAATTTTATTCTCCTTTATTACTATTTTATATTATTTAATAAACATTTGCTACATTTATAACTGTACATTTTAATGTACCAAAATATGTTTACACATTAACTGCAACTAAACCTTTGTTTATTTCCAGGCATACTCTTTACGTTGGAAAGATGGACTCTCACCTCTATGCCTCAACTTCTCTTGTCCATCATGGAGTTTCATTAGTGGTAAGTTCATATTTGTTACATAAATGTACAGCAACGGTGGGTAGAGTAGCTAAAAAATGTACTCAGGTAAGGGTAACGTTACTTCAAAGTACAAAGTTCAATAAATTGGACTAGTAAGAGTAAAAAATATATGGGGAAACTACAACTCAAGTAAGAGTAACAAAATCATATATGAAGGAGCAGTGCAAGAAACACAAATCTTCAGATCATTTCATATTGCCAGCATACAAGCTTTTGTCACTTGAAGACTCACAGTTGGAAGCATAATCACAACTTTTACACAAGTAAGATTACTGTTACTTCAGTAAAAATATTACTCAAGTATGATGTCTGAAATCTACTCGGAAAAGTACAATACTTTCAAAAAGTTAATAATAATAATACATTGGTTTTATATAGCCCTTTTCAGTGTAACTCAAAGGTGCTTCACAATAACACAAAACAATGACAGGACAGACAAAACAAGTAGAAATGTTGCTCAAGTAAATGGAACTGATTCCTACCCACCTCTGCATATAGTATAAAATTATATCTGCTGCAAATAAAAGTTTGATGTGTGTTTTGATTGTCTTTCCAGCCTCGTGGAGTGACCCTGGCGCGTATAGAAGGGCCTCTGACAGAAGAGGTCACAGTGAGAGAGAGGGGGGAGTGTGAGATCACCCCCTCCACAGATGTGCGCTACCCCCCCGGGAGCACCACCAACCTCAAGAACCAGTGGCTGCTCATAGGTACTCATCACACACTGACATCAGCTAGGAGCACTTTTGTAACACTTGTCTTTTAATGGTTCTATTTACCAGATTGTATCATTTGACTTTTGACGTTTATCTGTCTTTGGTAACCACACTTGTTGCTCTCTCTCAGCTCTCTCTGCACCTCACTTCAGGCTCATTATTTTGATCTTAAATGTTCATTTTAACTTGTATATTTAACTTATATAAAGCTGTAGATACTTGAGCTAAAAACAGCTACACGATACATTTGAATCAATTTTGTCTTTTTTGTTTTCAGGAAAAAAAAAACTATTCTCAGTCTCTTTACTCGTATCTGTTGAAATTGGGTATTGGCAGGTATAGAAATTGGTGTTAGATGTGAATCTTGTGGCCACTTTGACCTGCTTTAGACTGATATTAGAGTAGTATGACAGGTTTTGGGGCAAAGATGATTTGAAATTGGTTGTTATGCACACTCTGATTTCACTGGGTATGTAAATGTAGTGACTGATGCCCTTCACACAGTGCCTATCTCACACTTATATCCAGGTCACCACGAGCTGCCTCCTTTGGCTCACACCACTATGCTTAGGGACTTCCCTGGGGGTCTGCAGCGGTTTGGAGAGGCTGTGATCCCCCCTCAAAAGCCCTCCCCTGCCTCTCCCTCCTCCTACTATGACCAGCGCTATGTGAGTACTGCTACTGTAAAACTATTCACTATGGTAATCAGAAAAAGCAAGCCAAAGTGCTCTTTTCTTGTAACCACTACTTGTAGGCAAAAAACATGAGAAATGAATGTATACATTTCTTACATAATATTGAGAGATACTGCTCAAACTGATCACTGTCCCTTTTACTGTGCTCTTGAAAATAATGTGTCTATACAGTCCATACTCTGACCACTACCACTCACTTATTCACTCTCTCACTCTCTCACCACAATCACACAAAGACAAAGAGGACAAGTTCTTTGCGTAAGGACAAGGACAATCTGTCCACCTTGTAATGATATATATAGTTATGTATGATGTAAATGAAAGAAAATGCTCTCTGCTATGTATCGTAAACTAGAGTATTCCATATGCAGGGCCGTCAGCATGGTTAAGGTGACGCACAAGTCATAGATAAGATGTTTGATCACTAGATGAAGGCTGTACGTAATGGTCTGAATTTTTCTTTTTTCACAATGTTCTACTTTTGTAGTACAATTTACATTTAAACAATTTTCACAAATTCTGACAACATTACTTACGCTCCTACATATCTAAAACAATAAAAAATAAAACAACTCTTACAAACACTTTTGGCCTGTTCCTTTTGTTTTTCCTGTTGTTTTTCAGTTTGAGAGCTCAGCCGGTAGCTCCAGAGACCCCATCTCACAGAGGGGAGCGGGTCAGGCAGAGAGCCGAGAGAAGGCCCCACCTCGATTGACCGTGCTGCCTGTGTTCATGACTCAGGACCACCTCACCCTGGCAGTGCTCACCCTGCTGCTGGGAGGGTGGCTGGCCTTTGCCTTCTCCTACCCCCTTGTGAGTATCTCATGCTATAATATACTTACATTCACATTTTTATTTAGTTACTTATGTATTGCTCCCCACACTAAATCACTTCCCCTTCAGAGTGCTGTCATCACAACAAAAATCTGCATGCATTCCAACAGGTTTATGAAGTTGTAGTTTATTATTTTGTATCATGCTTTTATATATATTTAGAAAATTACCATGTGGGAGTATGAGCTATTTAGGCTCATGAGCAGAGCATTGGATAGGGCACTGCTAACCATATGGAGGGTTCATACTACAAAGATCACATCTAAAACCTCTTTAGGCATGTTTTTGTTATAATTAAATGCAGACAGTACACAGCTGACTTATTTTGACCTTAAGAATTGCTTATACAATATATCTGTACAGGGCAAGACAAATATTGCTCAAATACATGGAAAAAATTATATAGGACCTTTTTAATTATGTATATTTTTGTAGTAGTATTTTATTTTGTTGCTTTTTAATTTTAAAGTATTAAACAATACAATAGTATTTACTATATATAGTTAGTGATTTTCCATAGGTTATTTTCTGCTCATTAGTAACTTGTTTATAGGTCAGCATGAAATATTTTAGAAGCCTTGAAAGTGCATTCAACTTCAACACTGACTAAGTCAGTGAAATATTGATTACTTCTTATCAACTTTTGTGTCAGAAGGAAACAGGATGTACACACAGAGATGGTGCAAGAAATGTTCCAAATCAGATGAGCAGTTAACAGTGCACCCTCAGAAATCTGTTGTAAAAAGATCGGTCAGATTAGGTTTTGTGTCATTTAAAGAGACTGAAGAAGTATTTAGTATCTTGTGTAGCGGTGATATACCTATAGTCAGTCAAACTGACTAAATCACATGAAATCTGTTGAATTCAGAAGTTAAAGGCTAGTCTTTATAAGAATAAAGGTATAAGAGGTGGTGTCTTTTTTGCTATAATAATATTCTTTAGAAATATTACAATTCAAAGGTTATAGTCAACAGACACTGACTAAAGGGCATATTTGTTATTACATTCAACTGTTTGAGAGATTACATTATTCTTTTTTTTTTTATATAAATGTAATAATGATTAATTAATAAACACGATTTTGTCAAAACAAGCGAAATTATAAATATAACCAATACCTCCATAGGTCATTGTTTTCTCATCACAAGCATGCCTGAAGAGGTTTTAGACGTCATCCATGCTTGTTTGAGTATTTTAGTGATCTCCCCTGGGCCCTATTCAAACCCTCCTTACAAAACTGTACACAGCAACTTCACAAACCTGATGCAATGTCCAGTAGTTATTATAGTAGTATTAGTGTCATGCACACTGATTGTGTTGTAATAGTGCTCTGAAGGTGGAAGGGAGGTGAGGGAGGGCCAAAACTGAAAGTGAAACTTAAAAAAAGATGTTAATTGTTTTTTTTTAGCTAATGGGCTAATGTAGCATTTTCAAAACAATAAATCTTCACCCAAATCAGCACCCATAGAAGTAAAATTTCTTAAGTACATACTTAAAAAGGTACTTTAGGATTAAAATAAAAAGTATTTTGGACACATTTACTTTAATTTTTTCCAGTAAAAAAATGCACTGGAGTAGAAAGTACAGATACCTTGCTCTCAAGTATAGTAAAGTAAAAAGTATCCACTGTAAAATGTACACATTTTACATTTCTGTATTTTTTTAAGGACAGTATTTTCACTTTTGTTCTTTGTCACTTTCCACTGCTTAAACATGCATATAAATCGTTCTAACCTAGTTCAAAGTTATGTATATGGTTATAATATATAATATGTCCCCTTTTGAATGAGTGTGTGCACACATTTGAATTTGTCGGTATGGTAAATGTGTTGTGTATGGTTGTTCCAGCGTGCAGCGCTGCACTTAAAGACTCAGAGACAGTTGGAGCAGGCCTGGGAGTCCCGCCTCCAGAGGATCCAGAGCACCATCCACACGGTCCCTCTAGACTCATCCCACTCCAACGTCACCCAGGAGACCAGCCACTCCACGGGTACAGAACGCACTACTAACAACAGCCCTTATTTAGGACTGTCCTGTCATTCCCCAGTCTGAGTAATTCAGCAAATTAGAGCTCAGCCTTTCACTATTTTATCCACCAGAAGCTGTTAAAAAATGTTATCTGTCAGTTGAAGCCTTATTTCACCATTCGTTTGAGTTTGCAAGTTTTGCATAACGTTTTGGATAAAGATCTGAAAATACTATATTTGTTGTAACCAACATACCCGTTAAATATGAAATAATCCAGCCTATTACTGATGAAGTAACAACAATATAACTTGGTTAAAATTAATAATACATTCTTTGTGTAGTTATTTCACCTATTAATGTTTTTTGTTTTTTTCAGACTCTCCTGGGGTTTGTCCAGAGCCTGTCTCCAGCTCTCAAAGCCGTTGTAGCTCCACATCAGAGATGGACACAAACAACACCAACCACAGACCTACTGCCAACAATCACTCCAACCACAGTCACCACAGCAACCACTCAAACCACCTTAATAGTAATAATAATGGTTCGTATGACTTACCATAAGTAGGCTACATATTTGCACAATTTAACTTTAAATTCATGTCCTTTTCCAAAGGTATTTATTACACACTTTTTTTCTTCTGATATAATTTCAACCAAAAGTAAAAAATAGGCCCTGTTTTCACATATCTGCTTTGCTACAACCTGAATCAGTGTCAGTACAGTATAACTGGAAGACACTGTACCAGTCAATCTTCTCTTATCACTAATTACTTTTTTACTTTTTTCATTTCAGCTTTTTTTCCACAAACTGCCACTTAACTGATGCAAAACTATGATAAATATCGACCACAGGTACTATCCCGCCAAACCAAGTCAAAATTGGAAAAAAAAAAAAAAAAGAAAATCTTTTATATGCACTTTGATTGTGTAAAATCAATTAACCACCACACAAAATTATATTATTTTATTCAAATTTGATTGACTGAATGATTGTGTGATGAAAATGTTGTGTACCTGTTAGCACACACGTCAGGTTATATTATAGTTGCATTAAGTTAATTTTGATTTGCCTCATTCCGCTCTGAAAGACGACTTGTAAAATATATGAGTGGTTGGAGGAGAAGACTGAACATTCTGAAAGCTCTCAGACTACAATGTGAGTCTTTTCTCCACATGAGCAGGTGTAAAAAGTACATGGTAAACTATGTATTCACTGTGCACATGCTGTGCATCAGATGATATGGCTCCAAAATTGTTTTTGTTAATTGTTTGTCCTTATTTACACACTCAAAGTGGTATTAAGCGTGATTCGTGCATTTTTGAGTAATCGTCATTAATCTGATCATTTATTCCTGCAGCAAACACATTAGCTATGTCAGTTTATATTTACAGCCTATGGTTTGAATCCTGCTCTAGGCAGACTGCCATCAAAGAATGCTACGTTTATTGTGTATCAAAGTATACAGTTATATGTATAGTAAAAAATGCATTATTGTAACAATTTGCCTAGTTGTGAAAAGTGGCTAAAGCTGAAATGCTCCTACAGGGGGTGAAAATGAGGAGGTCCACGTGGGAAAGATTTCATTCAGATCATCAGATGTCCTGGGACATGGGACAGCAGGGACATTTGTCTTCAGGTGTGTACTCACAGACACTATTGGGCTCATGGGACATCACAACATTATAACTGTTCATAGTCTGTACAGTCTATGTTCACATGCACACCAAAATCTGATTATTATCTAATTTCTAGACATAGTCTGATGTGGATATTCAGAGGGACCATGATCAGAGAGAAATGAATCAATTCATCTGTTAATAATCAGATTTAGGAATGTGCATGATCTGAAGGACTGGTCACATTTCTAGCCACATGAAACTAGCATAAATGTCTTCTCTAATAGAAAAAATTAACTAGGGTCACATTTCTTTCACAGTAGAAATACCTCATCTTGTGAACTTCTATTTACTTGTAGTATATCAGCAAAGTAATGTAGATTTAGAAATTAAGAAAAGTAAACTAGAGATATTGACTGACTCAGTACTGTTTTTACAATAGTGGCCCATGGCTCTTTTGTTTACTTTCTCAAATCAGTTAAATCTATGGAGCTGTCTGCGTTAAACTAAAGGAGTGAGATAAGCACATGACCTGGTCCCCTGTGCTGTGTATTCTCAGGGGTCGGTTTGATGGGAGGCACGTGGCCGTGAAGAGGATCCTGCCTGAGTGTCTGGAGGTGGCAGAGAGAGAGGTGCAGCTGCTCAGGGAGTCAGACACACACCCAAACGTCATCCGATACTTCTGCACTGAGAGGGACCGCCTCTTCACCTACATCGCCATAGAGTTGTGCGCTGCCACACTGCAGCAGGTCAGGAGCTAGACTGCTACTAATTGTCTCCCATTCACAAATATTCATTTCACTAACATTTCACTTATTGTCTTTGAGATCTGAGCAGTTAACTCTTCTTGCACTTATTTTCAGTTAGCCCTATTAAACATTGTTAAAAGGTCCTATATTACGCAAAAATTGACTCTTGTGAGCTTTAAGCCATGTTATAATGCTTTTACCTCATCACAAAAAAATCCTGGAGTTGTGTTTTGTTTCATTAACATTTGAGTAATGCTTCATTATTAGTCTGTTTACATTTCCAAAACTCAAAATGTTCTGTTCCACCTTGTGAAGCAGTAGTTTTCAAGTTAGCAGCTACTTTTTACCTATTGTTTAGTAGAGGAAGGAAATTCCAGGTGTGAAATAATCCAAGTATTCTATTGAAGGTGCATGGAATGTAAAAACACAGTGGAGCACATGATACATGTTTTCAGTTTGAGAGAAGAACTCAGCCTAACTATGCAAGATTTGTGTGTTAAACGTGTGAATGAAACAAAATGATGAGGAAGCAATATAATAATAATAATATAGATTAGAGAATTACATAATATGGGTCTTTTAAAGAGCAGACTCAGTGATTTTATTAGTGGTGTCATCAAATTCTTGACAAGATTAAAGCAAACAAGTCAAAACCCTAGCACCTGAGGGACACATGAACTCAGCATTAGATCAAGTCAGATTAAAAATGCACTATCTAACTTTTCTGGTGGAGAAGCCACTACCTGCCTCTCTTCATTGGTTTGCATACTGTGCATGTTGCACTGTATGGCATTAAACTTCTCTATCTCCATGGAGCACAGATCAGTTTTGTGCTCACTGAAAGCTGCACATTTTTCAAGGTATTATGAGCGATAAAACACCTGTAATGGAAAATGGTTAATGCATACTTTGAAAAATTCTGGGCAAAGTACCACCACTACCAGGAAAGTTTCAATGCACTTTTAATACCTAGATATGCTTTTTTTTGGCTGTGTAGAAAGATTAATGAATGAGAGTGGGAATGTATTTTTACTGTTTACTACTTTATTTATCTATTTCTTGGTGGATCACAATTTAAAACTAGCACAAGCACAAGTTACATTCACCTTTTTTTTTTACTTGTGAACTGGGAACACATAGCCAAGTGACTTATTGATGCAACCCTTTTTTACTGTTATCCGAGTCTGTCACTTACATAAATTACAAGAGGTAATACAAATTTCTAGAAAGTATAACATGAATGATGTAAAAATGAAAAATTATGCCAAAATTAAATGTGATCCTTTCTTTTCTTTGCAGTATGTAGAAAAACCCATCAGCTTTTCCAGATCTAAGTCCCATCTGCTTACTGGAACAAACCATGTGTGGTCTGTCACACCTTCACTCCCTAAATATAGGTCTGAAATCACTTGAATTTTTGATTTTTAAACATTTTATTTCATTTTATTTTATTTTTAAGTTAAAATTTTTGTTTATATTTTAAAATTTTTGTTTTTTATTTGTACTCTTTTCTACCTTATGACTTGTGCAGTTCACCGGGATCTGAAGCCCAGAAACATCCTGCTCTCTGGCCCCAGCGCGGTGGGCCGGGTGCGGGCTCTCATCTCGGACTTTGGCCTCTGTAAGAAGATCCAAGATGGCCGCTGCAGCTTCTCCCTCCGCTCCGGGATACCAGGGACTGAAGGCTGGATCGCACCAGAGGTTCTAAGGGAAACGCCAGGGAATAAACCAGTGAGTTTGCTTGTGTTGACGATAGATATACAAGAGGGCAAAAAAGACAAAAGGGAAAATAAAGGGGTTCAGAGGTGTATATATATATATATATATATACACACACACACACATACACGTTTAATTTGTGTAACTAAATGATCATCAAATTTTAGCAACTTTTTATACTGTTTTTTAAGTTTGTTAAGTTTTTTTTATATTTGCATTAGATTTATATAACGCCTTTCAAGACACCCAGAGTATTTTACACTACATTATTAATTCATTCCGCATTCTGTGGAGCCCTGTTTTCAGGCTCCATAACTTCAGATCACACTGAAGAGAGTGCATCACTCTTGTGTCCTTTTAGGGAAGGTTTAATCCAAGCTCATATCTTCTTTTTTTCATTTTCACATGCAACTGCATGGAAAAGGCCCACCTCTTCTCTCATATCCGTGTATTTTTATTTGTGTTATAATACCCTTTTTGGGCAACTGTGTGGTGCCGCTGTTTTTCTTGCAAGTGTGAGACAAATAATCATTGCAAAATGTCTTATGTCTGAGGTCTACACATTTTGTGTCATGTCTTAATTATTTTAAAATCCACGAATGTGCCAAACTATACTGTATATTTTTCCACCAACTTGAGAGTTTAACTAGTTGTAACTGATTGTGTCGGGAAGAGCATTTGCCATAACACCTGCTTTATCTCTCTATGTATCTGATTTGCTGTAGCCTAAATACTAAAATGTAGCAACAAAACTTGCCTTGCACTTTCAGACAGCAGCAGTGGACGTGTTCTCGGCGGGCTGTGTCTTCTACTACCTGGTCAGTGGGGGGCAGCACCCATTTGGAGATGCTCTGCGGAGGCAGGTCAACATCCTGTCTGGAGAATATGCCCTCGTTCACTTCAAAGAGGAAATGAATCGTAAGAAGTTAAGAACACATATATTATATAACAAAATGAGTTGTGATATGCTGTTTAGTGTGTGTGTGTGTGTGTGTGTGGGGGGGGTCTCTGTGTGTGTGTATGTGTGTGTGTGTGTGTGTGTGTGTGTGCATACACACTCACATGATTGAGACCTCTCCTGTAGACAAAAATCTCTTCATTTAAAGGCATGAGCTGCAAAATAAATAGCACAAGTCCAACCCTCAAATCTTACCTTAGAACATAAAAAACAGCAAAACTATTGGAAAGATGGTAAAGTTTAGGATCAGTCTCTAGGAAATGAATGTAAGTCAATGTAGGAAAAGACTTATAACCTCAGCATGTGTGCAGAGGACGTGATCGCGCGGGACCTGATCGAGCAGATGATCAGCCCTGACCCAGAAGCACGGCCCTCCACAGCCTGTGTGCTCAAGCACCCGTTCTTCTGGACACCTGAGAAACAGTTGCTCTTCTTCCAGGTACTGGCATTTGTGTACTTCACTTGGTAGCAAGCTTGGTACTTCATTGGTGGAGTGTTTGTTCTCTGACACAAAGGTTTGTGGTTTGATTCCCGATATAAACATAATTGCTGGAGCAATAAGATCCACTGATCTACTGGTTGGCAGTTCAGTTCTAGGTGCCACAGATGAATGCTATTCTTGTGTCCTTGGACAAGACACTTAACCCACCTTCCACCAGTGTAGTTACTTTGAGAAAGTGATGTGTTAATAGGGTCAAGGTTGTAGCTTATTACAAGGAGTTCTTGTAATAAACTACAATCTTACAGTCCTATATTATGCTAAATTTAAAATTGGTTACGTTTTGTGATGACTTGATCTATTTTAAAGTCTATGCACTTTTGCCTCATTCTAATTATCTCAGTACCCAAATAATGTTTTTCTATTTATTGTTTGGAATACCAACGCAGGTCAAAAATTAAAACAAAAGTGGAACTGAAACCAGTTTTTGATTGCTTACAAATAGCTGCAAATATACTTAGACTGCACTAAAACTGGAGAAAAGGACTAGAAACAGTAGACAATGCTATTAACAACACCATGTATACAGTAGTTGTATATGGTGTATAACAGTAGCAAAATAAATTTGATTTAGTGTTAAAGTACAGTTGAAAGCTAATTGTATATTTTTAGTTAGTGTATTGTGTGGATTATCAATATTTCAGTACAAACACTAATGTTTGTTATTATAATGTAAATTAAACAACTTTTATGTTATATTTTGCAATACTACTGCATGTACTACAGAGCGTACTCTGTACTGTTTGATTTGATGAGTTGTTGATCTTTGAGTATGTGTATGTTGGTAGGATGTTAGTGACCGTATAGAGAAGGAGCCCTCCGACAGCCCCATAGTGGTTAGACTGGAGACTGCAAGCCGATCTGTGGTCCGGACCAACTGGAGGATGCACATCTCAGTGCCTCTGCAGACAGGTACGAGCCAGAGACTCCTGGGCTCAATCGGGACCTCCTTATTATAAAAATGAAGAGTTACCTGAACATTTTCATTGTGTTGCATTTGTGTTTTGCGCAGACCTGAGACGCTTCAGAACTTATAAAGGAAACTCAGTGAGAGACCTGCTCAGAGCCATGAGGAATAAGGTTAGTGCGCTCGTGACAGCTGTGTCTATTACAGTCAATCTCCGATTATTAGAACATCTTAAAAAAGTTCAGCATTTTTGTTACTCATTTCAAATTAAATCTGTATATTATATAGTCTATATATAGTAGCTTTCAAGCCTTTATTTCTTGAAATTGTGATGATCATGACTTACAGATAATGAAAACTCAAAATTCTGTTTCTCAGAAAATTTGAATATAAATATAAATGGATAAATAAAAAGGATATTTTAAACAGAAATGTTAGGCGTTTGAAAAGTATGTTAATTTCTATGCATTGCAAAACTGCAAAACTGCATAGGAGTTTCCTAAGCTAGTGCATACACATAGTAGCCAGGAGAGGCGTGCGCCATGCAAGCTCCCAAGCAAGGTCCCGAGTTGGCGTAGAGAAAAGCAAAGCACCACGCTTAGGATGAGTTTCATAAATCCCGCGGTTGGTGTAAGGAGCGCCTGAGCAAGGATTTGTGTATAAGTGAGCTTTATAAATGAGGCCCCACTTCTTTTTTTCCACAGTCCAGGTAAGACTGTTTTGACATCCTCTCATGATCCATACAGGCTTTGTCTGTGCATAGTGGCTCTTGATGCGCTGACTCTAGCCTCTTGAGTGGATTTTGGTTGACAATCCTCTCTCCCTTTTGCTGGTGCACCTTTTGTAATCACATTTTTTTCTTCTACTCAAGTTTCTCTGAATATGCTTGGATGCAGCACTCTGTTAACAACCAGCTTCTTCAGCAGTGACCTTTTGTCTTTCTTCTTGTGCATGGTGTCAATGAGTGTTTTCTGGACATTTGTCCAGTCAACAGCCTTCCCCATGATTGTGTAACCCACTGACCTAGACTGAGAGACCATTTAAAGGATCAGGATACCATTGAAAGGTTTTTCAATGAATTAGTTGATTAGGATGTGACACCAGGACTTTCCAGTGTTTAACTTTTTTACAATGTTCAAATTTTCTGAGACACAGAAATTTGGGTTTTGAATTTGACTTTCTGGAATGAGTTTCTTAAGCAATATATCACGCTTCAAAATGTTTTATAGTGACTATCCATACTCACTTATTTGTGTAATTTATGTACATTTGCACCATTTAGTATCAGGTAGTAGTCTGAAATATTCTGCTACTATGACACAAATTTAATTGTAGTAGAGCTTTTGATAAACTTGAATGGTATTTTCCCCCAGAAACACCATTACCACGAACTGCCGCAGGAGGTTCAGGAGACTCTCGGTGAGCTCCCAGAAGGCTTTGTGTCCTACTTCACCAGCCGCTTCCCACGCTTACTCATGCACACTCACACTGCCCTGGCCGTGTGCGCCCACGAGAGGCTCTTCCAGCCCTACTATTTGAGCCCTACCACCTGAACCCTATCCTCTGAGCCCTATGCCCTGTACCCTACTCCCTGTGCCTTATTACCCTTGCTCAGTGACCTGAACCCTACCTACTATGCACTACTACCCTACCCACTGCTACCCTGCACTGTGAACCCTACTTCCTGTACCCTATTCCCTGTCCCTGTACCCTACTCCCTGTACCCTAGCTCCTCTGAGAAAAAGACTGCAGAATTCTAATGCACACATGCACACGCACACACAGGTCCGCATAAATACAAGGGTCATTCATATGCAGTACAGTGTAAACCATTGCATTTATTATATTCACTGGATTATACACAATAGTCCACAATAGTGATAACGCAGTATGAGATACAGTACTTTAAATTTCATGTATTAATCTTGAGTTGACTATTTTTCCCAGTTACTTTCAGGTAACACTTAGTAGTACCAGTAGCAACTATACTATTCACAGCCTTAAGCTTAAGGTGTAAAACAAATAGCTTTCAGCATTGATGTATACATTATTGTTTCTGAAGTTTTGCATCAAAGTCTTACATATGGTTCTTTTCATAGTTATCTTTACTTTGACTTGACTTAGCAGACACCCCAAATCCAATTGCTGATATCAATATTGGGACTAAAAATCTTTGATTGGTGCATCCCTAAATATATAATTTCAGTAGAACTTAAAAGACTGAAGACTGCAACTTTGTTAAAAGCTGGTTCTATAACCTTGCACACCCACATTGTGAAATCTAAACTAGTCAAACTTAGATTCTTATTTGGAATTCATGTATTTTTAATCAAGTATTTTCAGTATCTATATGAAATCAAACTATATGAAATCAGATTTTCATATAGTTTGATATGCAATTACAATGTTTAATCAAGAGTTATTCCGTTATCACTAGTAGTCGTATGTTAGATTTACTGCAGTCAGAGGTGCCAGTTGTGTATTTGTGTGGACAAGTTTACTGAAGGTACTGAAGGTAGCTACACTGGCTCATATTACATACAAAATAAACTATTTACAACTATTTATTAAAAGTTCACATATTGATCATGAAGATTTTTGAGAATGATTGTAACATTTGACACAGTTATATTTTGTCAGTATATGATCCAGGACTGTGAGGCCTCGCTGCTCCTGGACTTGAATGAAGATCTGCTATATACTGTAATATACTTTTGTACTTTTGTAGAATGAGTGAAATAAAAAAAAAGACAATTATTTGACTGTTTTTCTATTATTATTTATTATTGTTTTTGTTATGATTGTACTATTAACAACACAGTTACAATAATGACATTAAAGGAAGGATATGTTGCATGCGCTCTAGCGGGTTATAACATGCAGGTTGCCAGTTCCTAAACTCACAAGTTTTTCTCATTCTCATTATATGGACCGGCCGCATGTGAAAATTGTCAATATCCAGAATTCAGTCACTGAGCTGTAGAAGATGCACTAGCACCAATTAATAATGTAGATACTGGGATTCAGGTAGTGGCCGTTCAGATGAGAGAGAGAGGCGTTTTAGGTGCAAAACTGTATTTCAACATTGAAACTGGCAACCCAAATCTACTTTCTGATTGGAAAATAAGATAAAAATCAATAATAAATTATCATATGTTATAATTATTACCAAGCTGTATGATTTTAGGATCTTTACCTTGTATCCGTATCAAAACATGCTTGTATTGTCTTGACCCAATACAAATATATTGTATAAGCAGCTCTTGAGGTCAAAATGTATCTGTTATGTAATGTCTGCATCTATTTATAAAGTGTTTTATTGCCAGAGAATCAGGAAGTGCTCAGTTAGCATGCTGTAGGATTAGGATTCATATGATAAGTGAAGAATAACTTTGAAACCCCACAAACTGAAGTTCTGTTGTTCACATTTTTAAGACAGTATCAAATCAGGTACTGTTCCTTTAAGATCATAGAACTAAATTTGCTACTTACACTGAATGTTCTTGTGTGTTTGTGGGGCTTGTGGGGGTGACCTTACGTCCATGGTACTTTCAGGCACACTCTGTCTCCGTTTTGGGAGCACTACAGCAAGCGGACATAGCTAAACAAACATGACCCCTTCCTCCCCTCTGACAAGTTTGAGTTTCTCTCGCTCAAGTGGTACAAGTGGGCCATCTGTGACAAACTCAAATTCAGTTCAAGTGAAATGCAGTTGGTCCTCTCTTCCCAGTAAGTATCACCCTGGCAAATAAAATGTCAATGCTGACTCAGTCTAGATTTCCAGGTAAGCTACATTTTCATATTATTACTTGGTTGGTGAGATAGT